CGTCAGCCTTCCTGATCCTCTGATGCTGCTTGGCCTGCTGTGTTCATCCAACTCTACACCTTATTATCTCAGATTCTCCAGCATCTGCAGTTCCTACTATCTCTGAAATTATTAAAAGGTAACTGGCACGTTACACTGCAAAACTGGTAATTTCTCATGCTGATAGTTATCACTTCTATCTTGCTTGAAGTTTTAATTGAGTAGCTTCTGCAAGATTAAAACTAACTCAAGTTCAATTGATGTAAGCACTTCACTGAAGTGTGAAGCATATGACAAAAACAACAGTTAAAAGTAGCACTGAAATCATTATAATTGCTACAGTGGTTCAATTCATTTCATCGAAGCTTGTAAGCATTATCATGACTGATAAAGAAGAGTAGTAAAGACTGTTCCAAGTATGAAATATACATGAAATAATTGGAAGCCATGAGAAATCTACAGAGTGAAAATTCGGAAATAAATTACATTTTTCATCCATAAATAATTCTTTGAATGGTTTGTGAGCTGTGTGAAAGGAAATAGAATGTGTTTGGCCTTATAAGATTGATGAACTATAATTTTTTCGATAACCCAAACATAGTTAATTAAAGGTACAGGTAGAGTTTCTAAGGTTTAAGTTTTAGTAATAATCCACCAATTCCTGGGCTGGCATTGGTTTTGTAATATTTGATGACTACCTCCAGAGCGTCTTGTAAATAAGGTGATTTTGAGATGGCATCAATGGCTTTGGTAAAATTCAGTAAATTATGTGTTTGATTTGCAATCAATATTTCCCAAGTTGTCAAAAATGCCAGAGCCTGGATTTCACGCTGGACCATTTACATTGTGTGAGACGTCACATGCCAGCAAGGCCAGCATCTATTGGTCAATATAAATTGTGAATGAGAAGCTAAAAGTGAGCTGTTGTCTTGAAACAGTTAGATTCTATTTGGTATAGTACATCCACTGGGCTGATAGGGATGGAGTTCCAGGCATTTAACCAACCAACCAACAGTAAAGCAACCTCAATCTGTTTCAAACACAGCACATGTGTGACCTGAAAGGAAACTTGCATCAGGAACCAAAGGACAAGTAGAATTCAAAAGAAACAGCTTTTATTAGCAGTGCTTTCTAAAACCGTTCAGCATTTATAGATTATATCACAGAAGGAACTTTACAATTCTGTTTCTGGTATCAACCTATCTAACAGCTTTAGAGTTTTTCTGATGGATTTATATGTTTCAGATGTCAGTTTTTGTCTCTACCAATATCTCTTCCTCACCTTGACCTCTATTAAAAAATGGATATTACAGTCAGTTAGCTGAGATTCAAATCATGTGTTGTTTATTTGGAACCAAACTACAAAACGAATATTGAATAAGTATTCTGTTAGACATTCTATTCTACCAGCAACCAAAATTCTTCGATATTGAATAATCTTCTGTATTATTCGCCTCTGCACAAAACTCAAATCACCGAATAAAGTATATTTTTAAATTGTTCATACAATTCAGAAGAAATCAATTAAGCAAACTTAATGCAACTTAACTAATTTAATTAACTCTCCTATCAGGCTAAAGACAATGTTTTGTAATCATGAGAAATAAAAATCTAAAACTTCATAAAAAAAATTTAGAAAATTAAACCAATTTACATTTTATTGCTTCATTAAATATCTCTGCAATAATGCTTCTTGTTAACAAAGAGTTCTTAATTGTAAACCATGCCTCAATCAATACCTTTTAAAATCAACAACTCTCCTTAGGGAAATGATGTTAGATTATCATTCGTTAAGGTATTCTGAAGTAATTTCAAAGATAGAGAATTTTTTAAAAATCTAATCATTCATAAAATACTTCAAAGAAAAATACTAAATGCATTTTTGTTTTACATGAGCAGAAAAAAAAATACAGTTTCAGCATGATATGCTGTCAAGAGGACTCCACTGGTACTTGTCCTTTCTCTTCTTTACTTGAAATCATGCCTTTCCAGAGGTTTGTATCCCACTCATTGAAATTACCAAGGAAAGTCAGCTTCTCTCTCTTTTAGACTGGAGGCAGCAATTGATCAAGGCTCATCTGTTGAATGTATAGTTAGGAAATACACATTGATAGCTGTTGTGTTCTGCCTTTGGGACAGGACAAGCCCAAGGTTTATTTATCTCACAGACAACTTACTGGGATCTCAACTGGTTCAATTTTTTGGTGAAATCAAGTATACGGAGTTCGTGTTCACACTTAAACTTACCCTTCCAGAAGAAAGAATATCCACCACCTTGCTCTTTGAACTGACCTTCTCCTGCCTGCCGTGTCACACTCTGGGCAGTGATGTAATGTCATAACACAGCAATTCCCAGGTTTTGATGGTGATGTGAGATTCATGCCTGTCACAGCTGAGTTTTGTTAATGAGGGACTGATGCTTCATTCACAAAATTAGGGCATTATGGTGGCTCAGTGGTTACCACTGCTGCCTCACAGTGCCAGGGACCTGGGTTTGATTCTACCCTTGAGTGACTCTTTGTGTGGAGTTTGCACATTCTCCCATGTCAGCATGGGTTTCCTCTGGCTGCTCTGGTTTCCTCCCATCGTCCAAAGATTTGCAGGTTATGTAAATTGGCCATGCTAAATTGTCCCATAGTGTCCAGGGTCATGTGATGGGCTGAATGGCCTGCTTCTACACTGTAGGGATTCGATAGTTTTTTTTTGAAGATATGGAAGATGCCTGTGCTTGAGATTTTTAAGCGTGGGATGCACATTATACACTAACCGCGATAGGTTTGTGGTGCAGCAAGGTCTTTGTCTAATGGATAAGCTGGCCAAAATAATTGAAGATTATGTTCCACTGCCCATTTGGATGTTGCTCTTAATCATCTCAACTCCCTCCAAACTTCAGAGCACACAGTCTGCTTGCTTGTGGATCAGTGGAGAGGGTGTTCTACATCCATTAGCCCCTTTAGGATCAGCAAAGGTGTATTGTAGAATTATTTTTTATAAATTGTCAAATGCAAGACCTCATGGTCTTTAGCGATGGAAAGGGATCGGTATATACCGCAGGGCAAGAGTTATAGCTGGGGGAAAGGCAATTATGAAGCGATGAGGCAAGATTTAGGATGCATAGGATGGAGAAGGAAACTGCAGGGGCTGGGCACAATTGAAATGTGGAGCTTGTTCAAGGAACAGCTACTGCATGTCCTTGAGAAGTATGTACCTGTCAGGCAGGGAGGAAGTGGTCGAGCGAGGGAACCGTGGTTTACCAAAGAAGTTGAATCTCTTGTCAAGAGGAAGAAGGAGGCTTATGTGGAGATGAGGTGTGAAGGCTCAGTTAGGGCGCTTGAGAGTTACAAGTTAGCCAGGAAGGACCTAAAGAGAGAGCTAAGAAGAGCCAGGAGGGGACATGAGAAGTCTTTAGCAGGTAGGATCAAGGAAAACCCTAAAGCTTTCTATAGGTATGTCAGGAATAAAAGAATGACTAGAGTAAGATTGGGGCCGGTCAAGGACAGTAGTGGGAAGTTGTGCGTGGAGTCCGAAGAGATAGGAGAGGTGCTAAATGAATATTTTTCGTCAGTATTCACACAGGAAAAAGACAATGTAGTCGAGGAGAATACTGAGATACAGTCTATTAGACTAGACGGGATTGAGGTTCATAAGGAGGAGGTGTTAGCAATTCTGGAAGGTGTGAAAATAGATAAGTCCCCTGGGCCGGATGGGATTTATCCTAGGATTCTCTGGGAAGCTAGAGAGGAGATTGCAGAGCCTTTGGCTTTGATCTTTATGTCGTCATTGTCTTCAGGAATAGTGCCAGAAGACTGGAGACTAGCAAATGTTGTCCCCTTGTTCAAGAAGGGGAGTAGAGACAACCCTGGTAATTATAGACCAGTGAGCCTTACTTCGGTTATGGGTTAAGTGTTGGAAAGGATTATAAGAGATAGGATTTATAATCATCTAGAAAGGAATAATTTGATTAGGGATATTCAACACAGTTTTGTGAAGGGTAGGTCGTGCCTCACAAACCTTATTGAGTTCTTTGAGAAGGTGACCAAACAGGTGGATGAGGGTAAAGCGGTTGATGTGGTGTATATGGATTTCAGTGAAGCATTTGATAAGGTTCCCCATGGTAGGCTATTGCAGAAAATACGGAGGCATGGGATTGAGGGTGATTTAGTGGTTTGGATCAGAAATTGGCTAGCTGTAAGAAGACAGAGGGTGGTGGTTGATGGGAAATGTTCATCCTGGAGTTCAGTTACTAGTGGTGTACCTCAAGGATCTGTTTTGGGGCCACTGCTGTTTGTCAT